GTGTACAGCTTCGCCACGGGGCGCTGGGCCCACGAGGCTCCTCCTGCTGGGCGCCCTTCAGCGAGAGGCCCCCACAGGCCACCACCCCACTGCAGGTGTCCCCCACGTTGGGGCTCCTGCCGTGTCAGGGCCTGGGGCCGGAGGGGCACTGGGGCGCCGGCCCGGCCTTCATCGAAAGCCTCGACGTTCTGCTTACCACGGGCCTGCGGCGTCCCCTGGGGCTTCCTCCGATGGCGAGGATGCCGTGAGGGTAGCAGTGAGCAAACAGAAAGTGAAACAAGTCTGTTGACGGAGTTTTTTAAATGTCACGACGGCAAAAGGTCGACGGACGTCTCTCGGGAGTTCTGTCTGCAGGCCGTCCCGTGGTTCTTGTTTTTCAAATGAGCAAAAGAAAAATTACGTGGTACCCAGGTGCCGCCATGCGCACAGAATTAGGCTGTCACTGTCTGAGTGACAGGAGACGCACCAGGGTATGGCCCCAGACCTGCCTCCGCGACGCCGACCGCCGGCCCGTGTCGGTGACAACTGCTGTCACCCAGGCTCTGCGCCCACTACTCACGCCTGGCTGCCCTCCACTCTGATCGTGCGTGGACGTTTACGTTTTATAATTGCCAGTCATCTCGTCCTTTTTTTTAGATAAACATTATACTCAAGACAGGAGGGCGTTTTATAAAATCTCCTTCATTTCACATTCGTGTTCATGCCTCTGTCACTGACAGGCCCGTCCCACACCTGTCCTCCCTGTGGCGGGACGTGCGTACGTGTGGACGGCCACTGGGAGTCAGGGGCGCCCTAAGGACGGGCAGTCACTGCTGGATCGCTTTAGGGTGGCCACTCGGATCCACCGTGTGTCTTCGACAAAATCGATAGGCTCCGGGCTCACACGCTAACTGGGACATGTACTGCCACCCCTGGTGGCTGTGGGGACCGGTTCCAGGGCCCCCCACAGACACCAAACCCGAGGAAGCCTAAGAGCCCTGTCTGCCCTGGCGTAGCGTTCGCACACAACCCTGCCCGTGCTCCGCGGCCACGGCAGGACGCCCCTGCGTTCACTGTGGCCCGAGGCAAATTCAAGCTTTGCTTTCTGGAACTTATTAGGATTTTTTTCTGAATACTGTCAATCTGGAGTTGGTCGAATCCACAGACGCAAAACCCTCCGTGAAGGTGGCCCAGCTGCCTGTCGGTGTCCGAGGTTCCTCCCACGGAGAGGCCGCCTGAGACGTGACCCTAGCTGAACATCAGCAGTCGGTGTCCAGGCCTCTGCTGGGGTTGCTCCTTCATCTCACAGAAGTACATCATTTAATTTTTTTAGCTTACGTTTTTAACTTACACAGTGTCAAAACCCAGGCTATGATTCCCAAGTTGGGACAATTAGTAGACTTGAGTTTATAAGATGATTAGATTTTTTCTCAGGTCACATTCGTCCTTCACAGATAGAGCTTTGCTCCTTCGACAAGTTTTTATAGACTCCGCTGCAGATGCTGAGGCGTCTCTGAAAGGGCTTCCAAAATTATCTGGCCTCGTGAGTCACGCCAGCCCGGGAGGAAAGCCTTCCACTGGGACCTCCCGGAAGGGCGCGGTGTCATCTGCATCGTCGGTTTGAAACAAGCAGTTTGCCGCTGCAGTGGGTCGCAGATGGTCAGACGCTGGCGTATCGTCTGCCTCGGCCCGTGCTGTTGGGCGTGTTCTTATAAATCAGTCGTGTGTCTTTACACGCAGAGCTCGGCTGCGGTGACACCGAGCGCGAGGGACCGAAGTGGGGGACTCACATTCACACCCATCGTCACTACCAGGACCTCTGGGGACAAAGTGGTCACAGTTAGCACATTCCAAAATCGAAAAGAGTTTTGAAGGCGACACACCCCGGTTAACCCGTGGGAGCTGGAGCTGGACAGAGCCGGACCAGCATTCCGGTTGTCCTGGCCACCAGGCGTGTCCCTTCAGGCAAATTTCTTAACCTCCTCAGGCTCGGTTTCCTTGTCTGTAGAGCTGGGTGATGATGTCACCAGCCTTTCAGGGGCATCGTGAGAATAAGGGATGCGATGTGTTTGATCAGCCCGGCAGGCGGCACGTGGTCAGCGGCCAGCACAGTCACGCACTCTGCCACTCAGTGGACAGCCGCTCGTGACCTGACCGAAATGTGCCATGTGGAATGACCATCACTGGCGTCCCTGTGCCAGGAGTAGAAGTGGCCGGAACAGGTGACGGGGCCAAAGGTGCCAGCGTCCCGTGTAGGATAAACAGGCCTGAGACGAAACACGCAGCGTGGTGACCGTGGCCGATACCGTGTCACGTGTTTGACAGTCGCTGAGAGGCCACAACTTACACATTTCACCACACGAAAAAGACATTCCGCGCCAACGTGCAGCGATGCTACCCAGGCTGACCGTGGCGATCGCTCAGCGACACTGACCAGTCTAGAAGCATCATGCCGAAGCCAGTATACTGTCATATGTCAGTGCCGCTTCAGTTAACAAAATGAAAGACACAGCAGGTGAGGTGGGGCGATGCTGACCGGCTCCTGCCTGTGCTCCCCCCGCCCCCTCCTCAGCGGTCGGAATGCACGAGCCGTGCTGACCGCGGGCGTCGATTGCACATTGGATGTCATTGTCCCCTCCCGGGCCACGCAGAAGGCATTTCAGGAGCGCCCATGTCACTGTTAACGTAAGGCGAAGAAATGCTCGCTCCCTGTTGGGTGTGGCCTCGAGCAATCTAGCCTTTTCCACGCGTAAAATCGCCCTTGCCGAAGGCCTCCTAGGCGCCCGGATCGGGCTCGGTAGCGTGCACGTCACCTTCCGTTTGATTCTCAGAACACCATTTACAGCAAGGGTCATTTTGCTCATTTGAAAAACAAAACCAGAAGTAAGAATAGTCTCAGTTCTTCGGCCGGTGACGCTCAAGCGCGGGAGCTTCGCCCGCGGGTGGCCGAAGCCGCCTGGTTGTGCATGTGCCATAGCCAGGGTGGGGGTTGCCCCTGGAGACCTGCTTCCCGCTGCGCGGTGCAGGAGAGCAGGTGGACGGCACGTCCTCACCGGACAGCGGGCAGCGGTGGCCCGCCGCGCTAACTGCCCTCGTCCACTCCACAGCGACCTGCGGAGGGACGCTGGCCAGCATGGGGGGCGTGATCCTGAGCCCGGGGTTCCCGGGGGCGTACCCCAACAACCTGGACTGCGTCTGGAGGATCACGCTGCCCGTCGGGTACGGTGAGTGGAGACGATTTGATTTCCTAGAAACTCAGCTTTTCAGTTCTTCCCTTGGAAAAAATCCAGCTGAATGAAAACAGGGGCCCCGTTCTGCTGGCGCAGCCGTGGCGTTCGCTGAAAGAGGCTCACGGGGGTCGAGGGAAGCGTGGGACGCCTCCGAGATCAGAGAGTTATTTGAAAAGTCAGTTCAGCTGTGCAGGTCTTTCCAAAGCAAGTCGAATGAGCCGATGGATGAGGCAGTAGCCGCACGAGTGCAAAATAGAGAAATAGAGCATCTAACGCAGCGATCGGTGTCTTGTCTTGCGACCCTGCCCTCTGCAGTCTATCCGTGGGCGTCACTGATGGGTGTTGTTTATTTGGAACAATTCTAGGGCTTTTTTAGGTTATGACGTATTTCGGTATTGTTTTATACATTTTTGTAGTTATAGTGTTGACTTAGGTTTAGGACAACGGCTTTTTAGACTAGTTTGAACTTCCAGGCCGTTCATTGTGGGTCATTCACGCCGCCAGTCACTGCGTGCACCGCGGTCTCGTTCTGTCCTCGGAGCGCGTGGTCGGTGTGGCGTTCGGCCCCCCACCCTGCCGGCCCCGCGCTGCCCTTTGCGCTTTAGTTCCGGGCCGAGGACGCACGTGCTGAGATACAGCGAACGAAATGCCGTGAGCGCGGAGGGATGTGGCGCACGTGAGCTTCGCCGCCCCGAAGGAGCTCGTATTTTTATGGCGTTTTCACGGCTTCTGCCTTGAGGGCCATGTCCCGATGGCCAAGGGCAGCAGCAGGAAGGCAGGGTGCGCCTCGCTCAGCAGCCAGCAGCCGAGAGGAGGGTGGCCATGCGTCCTGGGTCAGGTGTGGGAGCCGGAGCCTAGTGGACGGGGGGAAGGAGGGGCCAGGGTCGGGCACAGGAGGTTCCTGGCCACCGGTTTCATAAGGGGCCACCCAGAGGGCGTGTGGGGTGACGAAGGGGAGAGGCTTCGCCGGCCAAGCTCTTCAACTCACTTCGTTTCTGACCACACGCTGAGCCTAGAGGCAGGGACTGTCCGGGGCTACACAGCTTCGCCCGGCCCCGGAACAGCCGCTCATGCCTGCTCAGTCATCTTTGCGGGTCCGTAGACGTGGGCGTGCTTGCTGCGGTCTTGAGCCAGGCGTCAGCAGGGGGCTGAAAAACACCCGTGACCCAGGACAGTCCGACGGGGTCCGGAGGCTCGTCAGGGCCACAAACTTCTCAGGCAAATGACCGCAGAGGTTAAAAGCAGAGATTCCAGGAAACCAGCTGCCCGCAGCCCCGGCTGCTGCGTGGATGTGGCCCACCGTGCTGGCCAGTGACCCCGTGGCCGTCTAGAAGTGTGGGGAGGGCGTGGCAGAGTCCTCACGACAGTCCCCGAATTTTAAAACTATTAGCCCTTTTGCCATAAATGTTTCTTACACACAGAAGATACAAAATAGAGAAATTAACATGCACTAGTTCTATCAACCAGAGCATAAGGGTTTGACTCTGCAGTGAGGGTCAAGGTGTTATGCAAAGTTTCGTCAAAGTCCAAAGTCAAAAGTCCCTTCGCTGACACTTTCGACGTGTAACGCGAATGCGCTGTGTCAGCTCCTCCCACGGTGGGCCTTCAGGCTGATTTTCTTGTTGTAGAAACGCATTTTTCCAGTGTTCTGTGAGATAAGGAAGGAGTAGCTAAGCTGAGCTTATTTTAATCCCCTCGCTTTGGCTTTATGTTATCAAACTGGACACACTTTTCTAATGAAATCCAGATCACTAAATAATTCTGTTTTAAACCAGATTAAAGCTGGATGGACTCTGTTCTACTTCCTGAGGTGTGTTCAGCAGTTCGACGTGTGGCTGGACACTTTATCCTGAAAAAAAAACGATTTTGTTATAATAATTCCATTTCCATTTCAGGTTTAATTCCAGATCATGGAAGGCCTTTTCCACTGTTTCTACCCGTTCGAGATACTGGCCACGTTTAATTTTGTTTTCACCCCTTGATCTGCTTGCTGTCTTTCCTTCTCTCTCGAATGTGTCATTCGATGAATTTCAAAGTGTAATCTGGATAAATACATGCAAAGTCTGCACGTGCGCATCTGAAACGAGCATGTTTGAAGCCATTTCCCTGCAATTTCATTTTATACCCAAAAAGTGAGAAGAGTTTTAAGTGTCCTAATCTTCCAGCTTCGCATCCTCTCTGGTGCATTTGGGATAAAAATAGACATGTCACCGACTCAGTCTGCATTCTATCTCGTGGTGACAAACGTGGTGGGCGTTCAGGAACTGTCGACCACGGGGGTTTAGTGGCCTCGACGTAGTCAGACACACACACGCGCACACACACATGCATGCACACACACATACATGCACACACACATACGCACACGCACACATACATGCACATGAGTGCACACATACGTGCACACACATGCACACATACACGTGCACATGCATGCACACATATGCGCGCACACGCATGCACACTCACATGCACGCACATGCACACACACATACACACCACACACGTGCACACATGCATGCACGCACGCACATGCACACACATGCACACATACACATGCACGCACACATACACATGTGCACACACGCACACATGCACGCACACACGCACGCGCACGCACACACACACACGCGCGTGCACACTCACACTCACACGCACGCGCGTGCACACTCACATGCACGCACATGCGCGCACACGCACACGCGCACACACGCAGGTTCGTTATGAGTAACAGTCCATTTATTAGTAGCAAAACTCTTTCCCC